CATTATTCGTGGCGTTAAAAATAAATTTAACCACGCCGCACATTTACATGTATCTACGTATTTGTCGAGGTGTTAACAAAGAAATATTTAATCACGCTAAACATTTATACACTACGCAACTATTTTCCTTACTCACATCGTATGTTTTTTTGTGACGTTAAAAAAATACTCAACCATGTCATAAATATATACTCCATGTCAATATTTCATTCTTGTTTACTTCTTTTGTGCAATAAACTTCATTAGTTTTCAAAATGACGTGTATTTATTAACATGTGTGTGTGTGTGAGCGCCCTCTACAACACATTCTGAAAAATCTTTCGTCCACGCCTGTCCAATTAAAAAAATAATTAAAAAAAAATAATTAAAAAAATTGATGGTAATTTATGCAAATGTATTCACGATGACCTCGACACGACCTCGTATTCACATCAATTTTATGTATGCAAATGTATTCACAATATCCCATTGTGACATCATCCTCATTCAAATGATCCCCTTTACGGCATTGGTCCTCATTTATGTTAATTTATGCACGCATTCCCATTGTGACGTCATTATTTATGCTAAGCTATGCACGGCCTCCCATTGTGACGTCATCCATCCCCGTATGACGTCATCGCATCCGAATTATGAACAGCGCCCTCATGGTCGTCCCTATAGTCCGACGTAAACTACTCCCGTTCAATGTAGTAAAACTGGTTTGATATCGTATACATATCCTATTAATAGATTTTTTAGCACACTTTGCGGTGCGGTGGCCTTTATTTTTGTTCAGCTCTCTGGGATAGTGGGTGAGTACAAGAATTCGTTCACCAAATTTGCTTGTCACTATGAACACAATTTACATAGATGGGATTGGTGAATAGCATTAACAAAATGTTCATACCAAGAACATTCACTAGTCTTGTTTAACTAGTTTTAATTCCATATGTCATCATGCTTGTGTTGGTAGTTATTTGAATGTAAGCTATTGTAAAGCGGCATGAGTAATGTGATATACGGAAAATACAATATATGAGTAATGTAAGCTTTGGTCAATATATGTAGTTAGCTGCATGAAATATATTATTGATACACCAACCAAACATAAGTATCAGGTTGTATACTTTTGAAAGTGTACAAATGATATTCATGTGGTCATTGTGGGAGGTGTGATATATAAATTATGTGATTCCAACCGTATATGTCAAAATTGAATTTCAATTTTACACCATGTAAATAAATCGATAGATTCATGGTATTTGTTTTTCGCTATTTATCATTCACAAATGTACATACGATTTTCTCAATATTTGACCTTGGTACTCTTGATTCAAAATTATTAACGATATTGTGTTTTGACCAGCATATTGTATTTAAACCCCCTACCTAAAATCCTATAGGGGGCTATAAATAGTGTCATCGCTGTCACACAATCAAGCGTGTAAATATACTATGAATAAACCAGGGTTGTTTGTGAAAGCAGTTTCGGTTACATTAAATGTTTGATTATCAAGCACAATCAACACGGTCAAAGACTTTATAACGACCCACTTAATATTTACTATTTACTATTGATTGCATGATTTTAGTAGCGATCACATTGATAAAAATTCAGAAGGGGGAAATAAATTTAAATATTTAACACAAGTCATAATTAGATGTGCCACACATTATTTTGCAATAAATGTCAAAAATCGTCTACGGAAATGGTCCTTCACAGCTGCATGTAGACACACTCGGAAGAGCTGAGGCAAGCATATACATACACCCTTCCCGGGGATTAGTTCAGCATGAATGTATAAAACAACAATAACGTAGAAGATGAGCCACGTGTAACATCACGTAATGGTTTATACAAACAGAATCATGTTTTATTTATTTTAGACAAATACATACGAAATGGAAAGCTCTCATCTACAGGCCGCTACTGTGCTGCTACAGGAAACAGGTAAACAGGTCTCTGAAAAAGGTATGGCACTAATGAAAGGTTAAGATATTGCAATCTGTTATAAACAAACTATATTAATGTCAATACAACCGCCAAGTAATGATCATGTAATATAAATCTATGTTCAGATAGAGCGTACTTACAAAGGATCTGGCAGCTGGTAGCGCACAGTAATACAATTTCAAATAACCTTTCATTAATAACCTTGAAAATACACGTGTATTACACGAACAACAATACTCGAAGACCCACAACCCTGAATGCTCGAACTTACTAAGAGGGAATAGGATGTATCTGGGGGACACCGATTACATCAGTTTATTGTTATATATGTATAGGAATATTTTATACAGAAGATATGTTTATTAGACAGCATTGGAATACTAAGACAATATTTGCTAAATTATAATTCCGATTTTTTTTAAAATAAAGTATGTTATGCGTTTATTTGTTATAGACAAAACACTGGTTCAAAATTGCCTTTCACTGTATTTGCCATATGGCGTGGAAAAGACACAAGTAGAAAGAAACCTATTTACTGGACATTTACTCAAGAAAGTTGGTAAGACGCAGACATTTATGAATTTGATACGAGAATTTGCAATATTGTAAACAAACGTTAACAAATAAACGTTAAAATAACATCGCCCAGAATCATCGCCCAACAAGACAGCATTTCTTTTTATATTCGAAACATATATACCGTTAACCTGCAGATGGAACATATTTGGTTGAACCCTGTCATCAAGAAAAAGTAGATACGTCAGAAAATGAAGATATATCAATCATTACTAAGAAGGGAATTTCATTCAGTAGTCTGAATGTTGGGTTTAATCGCCAGATAGCCGAGGAAATTGAACAAGAAACTGCGCATGTGCATGTAAATGACGATGGCCGTCACAGTACTCTCTATGATCTCATTGGCCGAAGTGTTCATGACGTAATAAACCAGGTGTGCATAGTATATTTCAATATTACATTTACCTGTTTTGTTACCGTGCATATCATGATTGATTACGTGTTATGTATGTCTTCAAAGTTGACATATCAGACATTTGTATATCAGTAGTTATAACACGACAAGGTATACACAGACAAAAACATCATATGACACCAAAATCACTAACGATCCATTATAAAGTCTACATGCCATTTAAGTTTAATAACATAACACCGTATAATCTTATAAAATATCATTAATTGTTATAGACATTCATGCCTGGAAATGGAATGAACCTTTTAGTCATAGATTTTTCCGATGAACATGATAGTACATTCACCCACAACAATATTAATAATGGAGACGAAAAACAGTTTTGCAGAAAGGGCACAATAGTTAAAGGTGATTTGTATGTAATTATATTTGTTTGGTCACATAATATAATTTAAATAAATAAGTATATAATATCTACATAGATAATTTTACCAAATTAAACAAAATGTTTTTTTTTGTTTTTTTATTCTCTGTACTCTTTGTTGTAGCATTTGTCCAGAACTGGATAAATTCACTACACGCTCAAATGGCTAAGAGTGGACTGGATTGCAATGTGGTAAAACCAAGTGTTAATGTACAATCTGCAAGGGGAAAACTAGAATCAATACAAGAGGTAATTATTCCAACTGTTCTTTTACTATATAACTTTAACGAAAAATATATAATGCAACAAACCTGTTATATGCTTTATTAAAATTAGTGTGTTACTGGCCTCTTGACCTATTAGTTGTATGGAAAATGCTAATAGGTGATCGGATTAATTGTTAATTAAATTATGTTTTATTTGTATTTCAGGATTTGTCCACAGTTATAAACAAACGTGAGCAGGATATACGCCAATTATTGAAGACTGAAATGAAAGAATCTGCTAAGAATTGTCCAGAAAACGGACATATAATATTCGCTATAAGCTCCCACCCTTCGCAAATAAATAAACCACACAATGAAACAGCAGATTTGAAGAAGAACAAGCTAGAAGAACTTCTGAAAAAACACAGTAATAAAATACCAGGCAAGTGGTTAAAATTAGAGGTTCTGTTAAAACTAAAGGAACGACCAGTAATGGAACTAGCAGACGTTTACACTGTAGGCTGTGAACTGAATTTATCACCAGAAGAGGTCGATGATGCATTGCTATGGCTTTACAGTCTTCGAGATATCATACATTTTGCTGATGACAGAGAACTGCGTAACACAGTTATTATCAATCCACGATGGTTGATCGACCTCATAAAATTGTTCGCCACAGAGACATCAATGTATCAGAAGGTAGAAGCATACAGAATGGTATCCCCATTATGTGAAATCTTGTACAAGCATGGTATACTTGACACACAATTGATATATGAAATACTGGGAAGATGTGGAAGGGCTGAAGACGGTAGAATACTTCTCAAAGCATTGCTGATGTTTGAAATCATTTACCCTTTCCCTTGCAAGAAAGAAATTACATCCTACTACATGCCGTGTCTGTTAAAAACCATTGATCAGTCCGGCATGCTATTTCCGGTAAACACCATACAAGGTCCTTCACTATATTATCACTTTGACGGAGGGTGTTTACCTGATGGTATTTTTCACCAACTAATAGTTCGGTGTCTGGAGTATTGGCCACAAGCGGAGTTATTTAGAAATGTTGCTAAATTTGAAATAAACGACCACCATTACCTGCTTGTATCGAAGAGGGAGTGTGACATCGAGTTGGCAGTGGTAGCAACACCTAAAAAAAGAGGAGAAGTGGCACACTTACGGAAGTCATTTTGTACAGAAATTAGGGAATGTGTTGACATGATTTTGAAAGTTCTAGTCAAGAGATACAACTCAATAGTATCATATAAGTCATGCCTAAAGTGTGATCATAAACTACACACGGAAGAAGCGATTACTTCTGGTAAACCTGGAATAGATGATGGATGTATCACGGCAGATTGTAACAATGGAAATGGATATTTTTGTCTTCATCAAAGTCATATTGATGTAACTGATCTGTGGTACCCCAAAAGTATGTGACTTTGATTATGTGTAAATCATTTGAAGAAAATCTTGTTTTATAAATGCATGACCAAGAAATAATGTAGTATTGCCATTTGCTACCAATATCATAGGTAACGCATGCTAAATTACCATTACTTTATTGTTACAACTTGTTTTTATTTAGGTACTGCATCGCGTGATTTAGGGCTACATTCTAAGATGAGACACGAAGGCGATGAACTATGTATGACTTATTATGAAAAAACAAAGGTGATTACTTCTGGTAAGAGTAATAATATAGTTACATCACTGCATTTCAGTGTTCAACAACTGGGTTTACATGATCCATAGTTTGATACATCACAAACAAGAAGCAATTCAAGTGCATGCTAATGTATTTCCAAGCACAATATTGTGCTTTCAAACTAAACTGCTTATGATAAACAAAATATTATTTATTGTTCACACAAGCTCTATGAAAGTGTATGAATGATCCAATGCTAGGTAACTTTCCTGATTTAGACAATGTTTTAACTTGTCTGTCTAACTGTCTTAATTTTTGACTTTTCACAGATGACATCCCTACTATTGGTATTGTAACTGCATTGGACTGTGAGTATATTGCTATGTCTTTTATGTTTACAAAATCTTTAAAGACATACATAGGCAATCAGCCAATTGGTGATCTCAATCGTTACAAACTTGGAAGCATAGGGAATAAGACAATAGTCATAACGTCACTACCTGTTGGAATGACTGGAGAAGAAGTATCTGCTGTCACTGCTACGCGACTTTGTGATGTTTTCCCGTCAGTGAAAATATTGTACATGGTTGGGATTGCTGGAGGGGTACCAAACATACAGTATGATGAAGAGAAAGCCATTCAATCCATAAAGTATATTCGCCCGCACGTCCGCGAGGGAGATGTCATCGTTGCCTATCCAGTTAAAGATAGTAGTCCGGGTTTCATTCAATACGACTATGGTAAAATTGTATCAGATATTGCCTCAGAGAACTTAAAGGGAAATATTAAAAGACAAACACAAATCAGGCTTTCACCGGAAGGGTTATCCGCTGCCAGGGAAATCAAGAACGAATTTGAAACCCACCAATCTAAGCCATGGATTAAAACAATTGAAAACATTTTAAGAAACCGGAACAAAGTTAATCGATTGAATCAGATTCGATTCCAGCGTCCAACTGACGAAGAACGTATTACTGCCAGTCGTATTCAACATCCGGAAGAAAATATCCTCAGATCACCAGGAGAGCCTAAGGTGCATTTCGGAATCTTAGCTTCTGCAAACAGCGTAATGCGAAACAGTGAGATCAGAGATAAGCTGGCTGAAGCTGAAAATATCATTGGTTTTGAAATGGAGAATGCAGGCATTGCTGTAGCCACGAGCTTATCTTCAAAAGAGTGTATGTTTGTTAGAGGTGTGTGTGATTATTCAGATGAATTCAAGGACAAAGCATGGCAGTATTACGCTTCGTTGGCAGCTGCAGCTGTTGCCAAGTGTCTAATAGAAAAATTGAAGTAATACTAGTAATAATTGTTCTTGTTTTTGGTGAAATACACTGTTATCCAGCTATATTAGTACATATATAACAAAGATCAAATCAATCAATATTGTTTAGCTCATGGACGTCATTCTCAATTCATATTCATCTTTTCCGTTCCAATTGGAGGGAATCAGCTCCATATTAATGTCAAACCCCAAAGATTACGGATTAAGGATAAAATGTCTATTTAATCTATCTTTAAATTCCAATGTAATTAAATTGAATGTAATATAAGCTATGCGTGAATGTGCACGTATATGTTGTTTCAATTATCAAATTGCTAGTCATATATGTTGTAGTTATATCTTAAAAGCTTGAAAGAGGGACCAGTTGATCTTAAGTAATTATTACATAATTATTTGACGTGCCACTTGAAGATAGGATTCAAGATAGGCAAACCAATATTCGACTTCATCCTAGCTTTAGCTAAATGCATATAAAATGAATTCATATTTTGTGTGAAAAAAAAACCCTAATGGTGCTTTCGTATTGCTAGACTCACCCATGCCACTTTATCACCAATGCAAGTAAGACGCACAAGAGAGCAATGAAATTATTAAATTTGGCTGCACTTTATACTGCGCTATAAGTATGTTGTTGTAAAAATATGCACCTTTTAACTATGCTTAGAGTATCTAGCAAATTTAATAGTATGTGCATATATCTATTCGTCATATTTGTAGATGTATAAATTTCGATTTTCAATAATATAAGTTTACATAAATTATTGTATAGCTAGTGTACAAGTTATGTGCATACAGCATTCTTAGTACATGGCTTGGAGATTATTATAGAACATCAGTTATCTGTATGAAAACCATGTATGGAAATGTATAATTGTAAAATTTATATAAATACCATGGAAGTTGATAACAATTAGCAATCACTAATTTCAAAATTCAAACACTACGATAGAGATATTACGTTTTCGAAAATGTGAAATTCTTTCGTCTATATGCAGAAAATACAGTATTTTTACCATGTAAAATCATTGCTATTAATTGTTTATACATGGGTTGTTGAACACAATACATAGTTTGTAATTTCATTCAGCCTTTTTCAGTCATAATTCAAGGCAAATAATATAGACAATATAGCAAATTATCTTTTTTTCGGTAATATTCTTGTGTAATCGGTAATTATGGAATTATTCATGGGTACATAGGGAATACATTTCGTTAATTATTCATAATTTAGGTTTCTGAATTATTTTGTCAAAATCATTTTTTTCAGGGTTTTTTTTTCTGCCAAAAAATGAATGCGTTTAACAATGACGGAAACGGAAAGTCTTTATCATAGTGTTAACGAATGAATTTGTCCAGATACCCAGACATAGGGACTAATAGAACAATTTGTTTGAAAATGACATTTTTGCAAATATTCTCACTGCCTTTGATAGAGCATGTACATTTATTCTAAAATTGTGTTTATGTATCATATTTATTAAATAATATTGGTGATAAGGTTCAGGAATATATTGAATAAAAATAGTGTTACTAAAGAATGTTTGTCAAAATTAATTTGACGTTTGCATGCAAGGTATGTTTAAGCCTTGTTCGATGTATACATTATATAAATCATTTCGAATGTATAAGGCTTAGTTTTAGACGCTTCTCCGAATGGTTCATGGGCCCCAATGCGGGTTGTTTTGTTTATTATAGAAGCAATGCACTTCATTTCCAATGTTTTGGCTACAACACAATATTATTAAAACTCCTCTAAATTATGCTTAAAACTAATTTTGGGTCTTACTTTTATGGAAATATTCATACAAGCTTAGTTGAAATAAAATGATTTTTTTAGTTAAAGTCTTAATTTTAATTATGTAGCCAATAAATCCATTCCACAAACCTTGATTTTAATATGAATTTAAATTTAAATAATTCACCTAACTCATAATGATCTAATAGATTATTTAATTATTTTAGCTGTGCTATGTTAAATAGAAAATCCCTAATTTTACCACTATTTACAAGGTAAGTTATGTGATTTGCCATTGGTGCTATTTAAATGAGTATAACAGATTGAAAAAATAATTATATATTTGAAAATCGTTTTATAAATAGTACATGATATGGGCAACATTGACAAATTTCAACAAACGGAATGTTTTAATGGTTAGATTGTTTTAAGCATGCCTTATTTATGAATCGTTATGTAACTAGTATTCAACTAGTACGTCTAAATATAATCAACACATATAATAGTTCCTGTAACATGAACTAGCATAAACACGATTAAATTAAATAAAAGCATTATTTTCGACGTATTACATAAATACAATTTGTAGGTTAAGATCTCTCAATGATTTGCAACTCGCTTCAATATTTTCTTGAATGGATCTGTTTAGTTATTTGTGAGAATTTGCCGGTTGTTGATAGTGAGGGTAAATGCACTGATTACATTCGTTTGTAATTATAAGGTATATGATAGGTTTGTTTAAAACACAATAATGTGATATTTTCACGCATAGCGAGATATAAATATAACAACACACGCTAAAAACGCAAAGGCTCATGAGCAGACGATTGTTTGTAAACACTAATACGCTATGGCTTTAATGTTCCTGTTGAGTAAAGATATACGTTGAACGATGATTCATTGTTATAAGTATTGTCTGGCTAGAGAGGGACCAGGAAACAAGATAAATATGCAGATTTGGGTAGCAACCACCAGAGTTCAGCCCCAGTGGTCTAATAATGTAATGTTTGTGTGAATTGGTTGGTGAAGTATGCCCTCAACTTTTGATCATCTGATATAGAGACTGGCAATAATGTTGATTGCAATTCTTGTGAGGCACAAGGATTTCAGTATATTTAAATGTGGTGTGCCAATAACAAAGGTAAAATTAAGGCATTGTTATTACAAAA